TCTAGTATTTGGCGGCTTTTGCTGATGTTTATGCCACTTACCGTCACCATTGGAGCTCCGGCATGTGTTTGTAATCCTCGGCTGGTGATATTCATGATTAGCTGACGGGCCAAGCACATTGGACCTGAAGCTGGTTCGTCAGTGTCAAATGTGTGCTCCGGTAAATGAAGCTCATGTGCAATCAGAAAACCTCATCAGCCATGTAATTCTATGATCTAAGTGCTGGTGTGGTGTCGTATTGCCCCTTTGGTTACGATTTGCATCGACGATTCGTCGCATGTTGGATTGATTTAGCTTGAGTGGCTTTCATGTTTGACCATTGGCCCCTGCCCTTTTTGCTATTCTCGTACCCCGCAGCAACTACCTCCGAGAATTTGGGGGTGGAGGGTCCGCTCCGCGTTGTAGGGATGGTCGCGCGGGATAGAAAAGGGAAAGGAAACCTCGCCGATTCGCACCTCGTTGACCCATCTGCTCTTCCTCCTTCTTTTTTCTTCAATCTCGATCTTCTTATATACCCAGGCATTCGATTACCGTGCTGAGATTCTGTCAACTCTCGGTAGCAGAACCTCAAACCAAGCAACACACCCTGTAATCAATCACATCAAAATCCCAAAATGGCTCCTCACACTATCAACTGGGGCATCATGGCCACAGGCTGGATCGCCGAGAGTACGCTTCCACCGATAGAACCGAGAACATCTATCACCAAGATATAACTAACAATGCCGTCTTTCTAGCCTTTTGCAAGGATCTCCTGACCAACCCGGCCTCGCGCGAGGTGACTGACGTCGCCCACCGCATCGCCGCCGTCTCCTCCTCTCGCGACGCCGAAAAGGCTCGCGCCTTTGTCAAGAAGATTGACGCCCCCACCGACACAACAGTCTACGGCTCCTACGCCGAGCTCGTCCGCGACCCTGCCGTCGACATCATCTACGTCGCCACTCCGCACTCACACCATTTCCAGAACGCCATGCTCGCCCTCGACGCCGGCAAGAACGTCCTCTGCGAAAAGGCCCTGACCGTCACCGCCGAGCAGACCCGTGTCCTCGTCGAGACAGCCCGCGCCAAGAAGCTCTTCTTCATGGAGGCTGTCTGGACTCGCTACTTCCCCCTCAGCATCAAGATCCGCGAGCTCATCTCCTCTGGTGCCATCGGTAAGGTCTACCGCGCCACCTCGGACCTATCCTTCAACAGCAACGCCGAAGATGCCTCTGGCAAGCTGTCCTTCCCTGACGCCCACCGCATGGTCAACCCCGAGCTCGCTGGCGGTGCCCTGCTCGACCTGGGCATCTACTCCCTGACTTGGATCTTCCAGACGCTGTACCACCTGCAGCCAGAGGCCGAGGCCGACAAGGAGAGCCCCGAGGTACTGGCCTCAGTGCAAAAGTACCCCGTCACCGGTGCGGACGAGTCCACCACCATGGTCCTCAACTTCCCCAAGCACCAGATGACCGGCATCGCCACCACCTCGCTGCGCGTCGACACGGCACCCGACGGTCACAAGGGCGAGACGGCACCCGCGATCCGCATTCAGGGTTCCAAGGGCGAGATTCAGGTCTCACACCCGGCCTACCGGCCGACGTCGTACAAGGTCGTCAAGAAGGGCGTCGAAGAGGTCGAGGTTGTCGACTGTCCGATCCCCAAGGACAAGGAACGCGATTGGGGTCACGGTATGTTCTGGGAGGCTGATGAGTGTGCGCGATGCCTGCGCGATGGAAAGACGGAGAGCGCAACGTTGCCATTGTCGGAGTCTCTCGTTATTATGGAGACAATGGACAGCGTCATCAAGCAGGGTGGTATCCAGTACCCTGAGCTCATCACCACCCACAAGTTCGATGCCCAGAGCCCATTGAACCTGGGCAATGCTTGATATGAAGTTGCGACGGTTGAAAACACGGTGTTGTAAAAGTCCGGTTGTACGGATAGATAATAAAGACATTTTGGATCAAAGGGGCGGCCCCGCTTTCGGGAGGCCCGGGACAGCGGGACCGCCAACCCGGCCCGGGGCGCCGTAGCTGAAGTCTAATAAAAATAAGCCTTTTTACCGGTCAGCGACCGCCGTACGTCAATGTCTCTCGATTTATCTCTTGAAGCTACAATTATGTGGCGTTAACCTCCACTGGTGACAGCATCTGTTCTTCCCTTGTTGTACCTGCTCTACTCTCACCCCCAGCCACACGCATTCCTTCTTCATTACCTCCCTGTTCAATCGTGAACCAGGCACCAAAAAGCTAAATACCACGCGGCAATGAACATGTCTCTCTCCAGCGGGCAAACATCATCATCATCAGGGGCTCCACCTGCGATGGACGTGTCTATCAGACACGAGTGTGATCATCATCCCTCTTGTCACACGCAATCTCCAATTCCCACACGTGGCCACGGAGGAAAAAAAAGTTAAAAGCTAGGAACATCTCCGCAAGGCACAAGGCACCATCACCAGCCACAGATTGATACGCTCAAGAAGAATGATCAAAGACATGCAACGCAGCAAAGCAAACTTGCACAAATGGTCGAACGGAGAGGTAGAATAACTGGGTGCTGCAGCAACGCCCCCCCCCCCCTCCCCCCCTTCTTCACTCTTGACCCTTGAATGTCTTTCCCTGCCGGATCGGAGATTAAAATCCTCAAGGGCGCAGGGGCACCGAGCGGTACTACCTGACTCTGACATCACCAACACTAGCCTTATGAATAGGGGCCGATGAGCTCAAACTGAGCTTCTAACGCCGCGCGGGAGCAGGTTCGCACGTAAGGTTGTAGTCAGTATCAACTGAAGCGTCCTAAAGCAAGCAGAGACCCGTGGCGCGCATACTATCTAGCAAACATTGGCGGTATGTCTTCCTAATTTGTTTTCCCCTGCCTTCCCTCAAGTGCAACTGGGGCATGATACCTTGTTGGAAAAAACTAGAAATAGCAGTTACTGTCGAAATCTCCCCTTCGCAGGCAATCCGAGCCGAGTGGGAACGGCTCAGGATCCCTGACGACAATCACGCAAGAAATCACTCGAGGATGAGTCCCCCCCCATCCGTTCGTACCGAGTCTTTGGAAAATTCCAAATGCGTTTGAGGCCCCGGTCTGGAATGTAACTGTCTGGCCTTTTTTCATACGGATACCTCCCTGGCATTCAATCTGTTTGCTCCTCTTCTGCTGAGGAGAGCCCAAGACCACTCAACTACTCTGCACACTCCCCTATTTTCGGTTTCACCCTCCTGTTCATTACTTTGTAATGCTATTACGGGCAGCAAACACCATGGATCGAACATGATCGGTTCGCACGTTACGGATGTAACATAAAATCATCAACGAACGACAGGAATCTGGTTTCAGGGACTTTGCCGTTCGTTTCGAAAGTAGTTCGTGAGCAGCGGCTTGTACTCATCCGGAGTAGACCGATCCGGGACAAGCCCCCCCCCCCCCAATCTGCAATCCCGGGACGAATCCCCGTTCGAGTCCAGCGCTTAACACCCGTGCCGCGCCGCAGCCTGCAGGTAACCGTGGCCGTAACGATTCTGAGAGAAAGGGACATCGAGACTTATTCCGCTACATACTCGAGTCTCGCACAATCGCTTTATCTCGATTTTTTTTTCTTTTAAAATTTTCTCGACGGAAAGCTACATGGTGTACCTCAAGTAGCAGTAGAGCTTTGTCTTGTGTATGCCGGTCAGCCATGGCCAGTCTCATGGGTGTTCATGCAATTGCAGCCTGCAGCCTAAACATGATCCGTCCACGATGACCGTGGCCCACCCACTACCACCCGCTCTCTGCGGCCCAGTCGGCGGCCGCGGCCGCGGTAGTTGGCCATTGTAGAGAATTGAGGTTACGGTGCCTGCATACGGTTAAGACCAAGACCAGGTGGTCCTCAATCCTCCTGAAATCCTTGTCGGCTCAGCTGTCTCTATTGAATGTTCTCCGTAAAGGCGACCGGCGTGCAAGGCCCCGGTTCTGTGTCCCCCCCCCCCCAGCCCGGAGCTACCGGACTCGGTGTACGCCGAGCCGGAGCGGGCCCCCGCCTCCCTCTTTCCCGAAAGACATTTCCCTCTTTGAGCTTCACCCCCACACACCCACGAAATTGAAGAAAAGAAGCAAAAAAATAAAAGAGCCGCTGCACACCGACTCACCGGCTCACCGAGCCGAGAAAAATCAGTGGAGTGCACACCGACCGGATGCCACACGCCCAGATGCAAACGCTCAGACAATGGGACATTTCCTCCCACCCCGCTCATTGTCACAAATCGTCATCTTCCCGTCGGTGGCTCACAAATCCCCAACGTCCCCCTTCGTTTACCTTTGTTCTGTTGTAGCCACACACCCTTTTACACCCACGTATACGGACACCGCAGACGCCTCCCAATATCTGCAGGGCACGAGCCTCATCCGACAATCCATCCTTCAATCCCAATCCCAGTTTTTTTCCTTTCCTGCAGTGGCTGGTGTGACTAATTTCCCAAACACCATACGGAGTACGCGCGCGCCGCCCATCACAAAAGGCCGCAAGCGCAACGGAAACACACAGACAATATCCGGCCAGAAAAAAAAAAAAAAAAAAAAAAAAAAAAAAAAAAAAGAGGGCTGCGTTGTGTCTTGGCGCGCGAACGCGCTTCAGCGGGCGCTATCTTTAACTCGGGACATCCCAAAACCTTAACGGGACCGTAGACCAGGGCCCTGGTTACCGACTTTTCTCCCCCTCCCCCTTCTTCCGAAAGTCTTCTTCGCCCCCTTGCACTCTTTTCCCCCCGTCTCGCACTCGCAAGAACACCCCCTGATCGACCGAAACTCCTTCCTCTCTTTGCTTTGTACGGATATAACAGGACCAAAAGCAAGGGGGTGAGAAAGAGCCGTTCTTTGCAGGGCTTGACTAGGTAGTAAGGGTCCTAAAGCTCCAGGATAGGAAATAAGCTGCCCTACGGTGTGAAGACCAAGTCAACGCGCCACACATACACACGCACGCATTCTCTCTCTCTCTCTCTCTATCTCACACACCCCTTCCGGCACCAACAACAATGACCGCCTCATCCGGCCCCCAACCCGGCCCCGGCCACCCGGCCGTGCCCGCCGATCCCCGTTCACCGGTCCCTGTCCCTCCCTCCGCCTCAGCACCCAGCAACACCAAAGACACCACCACCACCAGCAGCTTACCCCAAGAGACCTCAGAGGACCCAACACCAGTTACCCCGCCTCCAGCAGAAGACGAGGACAACGACACCGCCGCAGCCTACGAGTCCCGCCACGTCCACACAGTCTACGAGGCCATCGCCCCGCACTTCTCCTCAACCCGCTACAAGCCCTGGCCCCTCGTCGCCTCCTTCCTGCTCTCCCTTACCCCGGGATCCGTCGGCCTCGACGCGGGCTGCGGTAATGGGAAATACATTGGCGTCAACCCCGACCTCTTCATCGTCGCCTCGGACCGGAGCGCGAACCTCGTCTCGCTGGCGAGGAGTTACCAGCCGCCGCACTTTGATGCCGCTGCCGCCCCCAAGAAGAAGAAGACCAAAGGCGGCAACAAGAAGGCAACTGCCACAGACGCCTCGATCTCGGAAAGCACCGCGCCGCCGGTAGCACCACCACCACCACCACCACCAAAGAACCAGGTCCTCGTAGCAGACTCCCTAGCTCTCCCCTACCGCACCTCCGCCTTTGATTTCGCCATCTCCATCGCCGTAATCCACCACATGTCCACCCGCGAACGCCGCCGCGCCGCCGTCGCGGCTCTCCTCTCCGCCGTGCGGCCCGGCACCGCCACGGAGCAAGGGGGCAAAGTGCTCGTCATGGTCTGGGCCCTGGAGCAAGGCAACAGCCGGCGCGGGTGGGACGCCGGCGCGGCGCAGGATCAGCTCGTGTCGTGGGTGACAAAGGGGAAGAAGGAGAAGGAGAAGGAGAAGAAGCCCGAAGGCAAGTGGCAAGAGAAGGAGCAAGAGAAGGAGAAAGCGGCCGAACCCGCCAGGGATGAGACGTTCCAGAGGTATTACCACCTCTACCGCGAGGGCGAGCTCGAGGAGGACGTTGTGGAGGTCGGGGGTAGGGTGCTTGAGAGTGGTTATGAGAAGGATAACTGGTGGGCCATTTTTTGTCGGGACTCATGAGATGCAATCTGGACAGACGATTAAAGGACGCAAAGAGATGGAAGATCGACAGAGGTGACCATATGTGTCAACGGCAACAATAGCAGGCAAGTCCAAAACAAAAAAGTGATCTAGAGACCTTGAAATTCTATCATGACCATAATCCATCTCTTCGTCAAGTGACGTGTTTCGTTTACTCTTCGCCGCTTCCACCACACTCGGTCTCTCTCTCTCTCTCTCTCTCTCTCTCTCTCTCTCTCTCTCATTCTCACTCTCCTTCTCTCTCCATGTCTCCCTCCCGTCTCTCACACAACTGTCCGGAACAATACATACAGAAGAAACTAACACACGCTCGTAAACATACTCCCCTCTTTCTCTCTCTCTCTCCGTCCCGCCACTCTTAGTAAACACCTTTGCCTACCCAGCAACAACACCCCTCGTGATTTTTTTGTGGCTGTGAAATGATGATTCCGATCCGATGCCCCCGTCCCTCCCCCAACCTGCCGGGTACCGTAAAAACCCAACGGCAAAAGATATTGTTTTTTGTTTTCCCTTTCTTCGCGACACCGCCGGCTGAGAAATGACCACCAAAGGGCAAGTTTGGAGAGAGAAGTATGAGGAAGAGAAAAAAGGTTAAAAGTTAGGGAAAAAAGTAAAATGACACGAAGAAGACAACGTGGCCGTGAGAAGATCCGTTACCCGACACGAGGGAAGCTTTTTTCAGAGACATAGCGTCAACCTCGAGTGGTAAACGATGTTATGTGTATGAGAAGTTAGAAAAATGAGACAAAATCTTGCTCCAATCCCGATGCAACATGCTGTTCCCGTGCCGTGTGTCGTGCCCTCCGCACACGTTGGACGAAAAAAACAATCCTCGGAGGTTTCCCATGCTCTCATGAAAAAATCAGGAGGGGGGAGGCGATTCGTGTCGTCCCCCCTCAGAAAGAATTTTGTTCCCAACTCCAAAGTTCGCCGCGCCATCACCGCTTTCACCCTGCCCTCGCAGTCATGCCACGCGTCGCCGATCCATCTCCTCCTGGCGAGGATCCATGTGCCGTCGTCGGCTCGTTTCCCTTGAGCCCATCATCTCTGTGCCTGGACTGGCTCGTCGCTTCGCACCGGCTTGCTCGTGAGGCGGTGGGTAGTGGAGGGCTGGAAGCAGCGGTCCCGGGCTAGCTCTCGCGCTGGGCACGGGGCTTGCCGTAGGTATACCGCCCATCGCGTATGCTGGAGTGCTATATGGGCTGACACCGGTAGTCAGTTCGGCAACTCCTGGAAGCATGCCCCCGCCTCGGCCTGGCGGAAGTCCCTGGATCGGTGCTAAACCAGGGCCACCCGGCCCCATGCCCGCCATCTCATTCGGGTCCGGTCCCATCAGCGGCCTGCCGGGAACGCTCTCGCGTCGGGCTGCGATGACTCGTCCACCGGGAATCGGTGATATACCAGGCGGTGGTGGTCGGCTGTATCGAGGGGAAGGTCCGCCAATGTCCCGGGGCAGGCTAGGCTGGGACTGGGTGTGCATGTGGCCCCGAGAAGGGGAGTGCCGGTGGCCACCGCCAGGCTGGTCGACGTTGACTGCTGTCAAAGAAAAGGGCACAACGCCGGCACGCCGAGCCATGTCCGCTTCGCCAAGCTGCCAGTGCATGGCCTCTGCGGCTCGCCAAGGAACGGCCATCTCCTCCGCAACCTTTGCCCACATCTCCGGTTTGAACCTGATTTAGCATGTCAGTTTAATTCTCCACAAGACTGAGAGCAAATCGAGAGTGGCTTCGATGCTATTGTGATCAAATCTCACCTCTCGTACAACCGTGCAAGCTTATTCTTGCGCTCCTCGTCCCACTCGCTCCGCCTCTCGAGGTAGTTTTGGTAGTGAAGTCGACAACTGATGGCGCTTCTTCCCGGTAGACGTTTTGAGATGTCCTCCCACTTCATTCCGCTCCCCCGAAGTTCGATGATCAAGGCATCTTCCTCCGGCGACCACTTGCTCTGCTTCTTGGCCGGAGACTCCGCTACGTGCGGTGGCATGGCACGCTTGCCGCTCACAGCCAGGCCCGGTGCTACGGGAGGCGGGCCATACGGAGGTAGCCCGCTGACAGGCGCTGTGGCCGCCGTGGTTGCGGTTGCGGACGGGTCTGACGAAGATCGGGTATGCTGAGGCGGAGCGGTGGAGGACTCATCTGAGTCGGGAGCCTTCAGGAGAGACGCGATATCCACGGTGACGGTTTGGCCGCCTAGGTAGGTTGGATACGGTCTTGTGTCATGGGCGCGATAGACGCGCGCCAGCTTTTCGGTTTGCTCGACACCACCCAAGAAGGGCAGTTTCTGGAAGACTTTAAAAGGTTGAAGGTCGGTGAGATTTCCCGACCAGTCTCGAAATGGGGACGGTTGTTCGGTGCTCGTTGAAAGTTCTCTTCGCTTCGCGGGTAACGTCAAGTTTAGGGCAGTCTGTCTACTCGTTGGGAAATATGGCAGAGGTGGGTTAGAGTGGGATCACAGGTTGAGAGCGGTAGAGATCGGTGACGCTGGCCCCGTTGCTGGGAGTGGTGAGGGCAACAAAGTTCTCTGATTCTGCCGTGTCTTAACAATGGACGATGTCGATCGCGAAGTTGGTAAGAGGGAAAGGCGTTCCGTTTAATCCTGGTGGATAGGCAAAAGGGGGGAAAGATCTGAAAAGGAAAAAGGGACCTGGTTTTAGATCAAGATGGCGGCGTAGCTGGCAGTCTTGAGGAAGTCATCAACATGATTGGGCCAGTTAGAGAAGCCGGCAACCAATGATCGGAAATTGAGCTCGCTCGGTGTCGACGCAAGCAGGCGGGCGGGCGGACAGCAAAAAGAGGGCGGCGGCGTAAGTATACGTTGGTCAAACTAGGCTGCTAGAAGTCTTCATCAGAAAGCGAAGCTTTACCAGAGTCATCGTTCTCCTACGGAAAGTCGGTAGAGGCCAAGGAAACAAGGTACAAGCCAGTCTACGTCGGGAACTTGCGGTGATGCAGTTTGTGAATGGAAGAGAAAAGAATTAAAATGGACCGAGAAAGTGGTAGTTTGAGGGACGGTGATGGGTTGAAGAGGTGGAGGACGAAGTGGGGGACGGAAGCCGGGGTCTGATTAACAAAGTGACAGGCCCAAAAGACTCTTAAACTGACGAGAGGAAAGTCATCGAAGAAGAAACGAGAGGAGAGTGAGTGCGAGCAAGGGAGGGGTGTGTATAAGGATGGGCGTGGGAAGAGACAAGTTGAGACCCAGGACGACAGTGACGAGCCTAGCAGCAGCAGCAGCGAACAAGAAGAAGAAGAGAGTGTGTGTGAGAGCCACCGCGGCTGTGGAGAAGGAAGAGACGACGAGAAAGACGAGGTTTGGGTACGGATGGGAAGTGTGCGTGTGTGCGCGTGTGAAGAGGGTGTGTGAGGATGTGTGTGTTTGGCAAGGGCATAGGCTGGTTACCTTTTGCAGAACAACACCAGCGCGAGCAGCAGCAACCGGCAGCGAGCAGTGAACGTAGTAATAGGGCAGAAGTTATATGTCAAGCTCGCATATAGGTAGGGAATGACCAGTGGCAGATGATGGGATCTTGTTGGTGCCGTCCGTCCCTTGCCTGGGCCAGTCCGTCTATTGCCCTGCCCTCATTGAAGAATGCGATGCGGTAGAGGTTGTCGAATAAGGCTCATGAAGGGCTACTTTCACCCAGGCATAGTTTGGGAACCGACATGGGTGGGCACATGTTTGAAAGACACACGCCCCCCTTCCCGCAGCGCGCTCACAGACACCAGGTGGCTGCCATGCTTTCTTTTCAAGACACACCCCTCTGCAACATGCCCTGTCTAGCGTCTGGCCTGGGGCTGGTGTTCTCCCGTATGTCGACACCCTAGATTGCAGCTCCGGTCATGAGGGGTCGTTGTGGTAATAAGGAGAGCGCAGAGGATAGAAGGTGAGAAAAAAAAAAAAAAGAGAGAGAGAGAGAGAGAGAGAGAGAGAATACAATAGAATACCAAGTACTGGGTCGAATGTCCGCTACCAAGCTAGGTGCTAAAATGGCATGGCCACGAATTCATGCATGATGCTTCTCTGGTACTTGGGTAGAGCAGGCCATGGGCAACCCGTGGTACGTCTGGATCAGCGCGTTTAATGCGGTGTCAAAGCCAGAGTCAATGGAACAAGCTGGATGACAGCTTCTCCGAAGAGCGGGATCCAAGAAACGCTGGTCATAAGGATTGCTTGGATAAGGGTTGGTTCGTGTCCGTGTATGATGACCACACCTGGTCACAGCTCCCTCCCAGACTCGTAGAGCATCGGTTCGACTTGGAGGCTGGTGGGAATCTGGTTGAAGAGGGCGGGAAATTCGAGAGGGCGTCAAGTGTGCATGGCCCATAATACTAGGGTCCCCGACAGAGTGAGCGTGTGTTTAGGGCAAGACAAGCGTGGAGAGGGCGGAATGTGGTGGGCAGCAGTTTGTCACGAAACCGCATACGGGTGCTGTGGACCCCATGTTTGAAACCTGCGGTTGCTGATGCAATGAAGAGTCGAGTGGACTTCGCACATGCGCATGCTGGTGGGTTGTAATAGATGGGCTCCCGCTTCATGGGATCCTCTTCGTGCCGGCTGACTCTCCTAGGCAGACAGCTGGCGAAGAGAGATGTTGTTGAAGGGGAGGGCCTCGCAAACCGCTACTTATGACAGACACTTCGGAGGCAGCGGTTAGCCTCGTAGTGTTGACCCCATGGTTGGTTGGGCCCCCGACTCCGGCACGCGTAGAAGTCAAACGCGAAAGTATGACGGCGTGCATAGTTGAGCAACGAGCAGGCGAGAAACTAAGAGGCGTCTGGAGGATCGGAGACTGCAACAACGGCGGAGGAACCCATCTATCTGATGGGAGGGATGGGGGTCGGCCGAAGAGGGACAACGAGGGTTCCGATGCTTGGCCGGGCACACTTGAAGGAACTGCTCTCAACTGTGGCTTACCCTGGTCCCGTCTCCTCTGATTTGGGGAAGGGGGGACAGCCTCCACCTTTGCCTGTGCGCATCTCCGACTTGCTGAACTTGTGCTTATGCTGTTCGCCGATCCTAACGGGTTCAACGGGGGTCTGTGAGAGCAAGCAAACGCAGGCTGCATGTGTGTCTTGTACTGTCTTGGGCGGCTCCCTTCCGCGGCTAGTGCTAGTGCAATTGACAAGTCGATGGCGCGGATCGGTTTGATGAGCTGAGCAATCTGAAAATAAAGAGTCGGCAGTATAGCGCAGTACTGTGCTCTGCATCTGGCAGCGGCAACGGCAACGGCAGCGGGAGAACAAGAGCGAAGAAGAGTTGCAGCAAGCCTAATGTCTGTGCGGTCGACAAAATGAATGTAAGATGAGGCTTGTCTTGACGAGGCCGGACAGCCAACGGCGGCCGTGACAATGCGCCACTGCCGAACGAGTCGTCGAGGGCGGTTGACTACCCGCAGATGGGCTGGGGCTAGGTTGTGCTGAGAAACATTTGATCAATGCCCTTCATGCCCGGCTACGAGTGTCCCATGGCCATATCCATGAGGGCGAGCCAGGAACAGCCTTTACAAAGTCTGTCTTGTCTCGTGTTGGGAATGCCTCCCTTCCTGTCTAGTCAAGTGGTGCTTTGCCTTGCCTTGCCTTGCCTCGCTGGTTCTGTTGCTGGTGCTGATGCTGGTGGTGCTCGGCTTGGCCCTTGCCTTGGTCTGATGATGAACTGGCGGTCAGATATGCAGCGCAGCCCAGCGTGCAGCGTCCGTCCAGCAAAGCCTTCCAGGACCAGGGCGGTAATGTTTTCACTGCGGCGGACAGGCCAAGTATGAGCTTGTGGTCTGGCTGCATCAGTTGCCATGAACCATGATCGCCATGCAACTTGGGGCATGCTTGCTCGCTGCTTTGCTGGCTAGCGGCTTTCAAGCAGCCCTCTTTTGGTCGTCGCAGTCGTATGCTTGGCCATCATTGTGTGCCGTGGTGGTTGTAGAAGTAGTAGTCGTAGTAGTGGCAGTAGTTCTTTTTTTTCTTTCTTGCCGCACCAGCGCCATCGGTGTTGTCCACCCTCCACGGCAATGAGGCAACCACGACGTCGTCGTTAGCGTCTAGTCAAGCCACACATGGCTTGGTTGGGCTGCTCGTAGCTTGTTTGCTGCCTTCCAGGGGTCTCGGCAGTCCGGTGTTGTAGCTGGAACAGTGTCCACGGCATCGGTGCCTGACATGACGACGGGGCGGTACATAGAGGAGCAACTAATGGCCAGCAGGAAAGGCAAAGAAGTAAACATTGACTCCGTTCGGGGACATTAGACTGCGTACGAGAAGAGATGGCGCCGTTGTACAGAGATTGATTGAGTATTCTTGGGAAGAAACGTGGAGCAAATCGGAACGGCATCCAACGTGTAGACTGCTGTGCGTGCTTTCGAGATGGGGAGACGTAAGGTTAGTCGCCCTTGGATGACGGGAAGCATTGAGACTGAGATTAAGGTACCATAACGAGAGTAAGTTGTTGACGTCGAGACAAAGTAAGGTATGCCTGAGGTACGGATTCCTCGCTCTCCTTCCCTCTTTCCGATTTTCTATCGAGTTATTCCTTTTCTTATTCGTCTTTCTTTCCCTATTCGAACTAACACAGCAGATAAGGCAAGGCAAGGCAAGGTAGCTACTCTCGATTCGCTGCCTGCCGTACAGCCAGATCTGCTTAGGGTACCTGGGAGAGTTGGCCGGCTTGTAACCTTAACTTACTCGCCCTTACTGTTTTCTCTAGTCTCCGAGGTACCCATCTACTTCATCAGTACGTACCTGGGATATGTTTCTTGCTTCTATGCAGGGCACCGAGGTACGGTAGTCACTGTGCTAGACAATGATACTCCGTAGAGCTCTGGATGCTCCTTTTCTCATTTCGCATTTCGCAACCCAGGGGCCGCAGTTCTCTGCTTCTTCCGGGCGTTCCATTGCTGACGACGGCCTGGTAAGGCAATCGCGCTAGGGGAATTTCTTTGCAACCTTAGTCTAGCCTTGGGACGAGGTACCGTACGAGACTGGCAAAGGGCCGTCCGT